GAAGATCATTAAATGAATGTATTGATCCAACCAGCTGAATGCACACTAATACGCTAATCACTTTGATGCAGTGTTCATAAACTAGGTACATTTCAGGGCAGGGAGAAGAAATCCAAATTTTGCTATTAGTGAAGGGAAGACAGATAGCATTTCTTTATTAACGCTTGTTTTAATCTGGCTGATTCTCAACGTGGCTAGCAAATTATGCGAAAAGCTCTTGTCTCTCCTTGATTTCCCCCCCCTCTTATGCAAGCGGAAAACTGCATTCAGTCTCCAGGCAGAGAAAGTGTTTCTGAATTATTAATTTCTTTCTTTTTTAAGTGGAAAGACTTGCCTTTTATTTATTAAATTACTATTCACTGACACAATCTTACTTCAGCAAATTCTTCTGCAATTATAAATACTTAATACAGATGTCTAAACTCCTTGAGTATCCGAATCGCTGATCTAATTAAGTCAGAGCTATTCATAATTGCCTCTCTCTTTCTCTTTTAATGCTGCTTAGCAATCTGGCACTTGGGCTCAAACACTTTGCAAGAACTTTCTACCTGCTAGGAAAGTCAGCAAAGCTTTTCAAGGAAGCTTATGGCTTTATCCCTTTTCTTTAAAGCCCTTAGCTCCTTGAGTGCACTGGTTGAATTCATTGCAGGATCATTTAATAATAATGACACTTAGCCTCTATTGTTCCATTTTCCGTAAGTGAATGAAATGCCTCGCATGTCTCGATAATCCTGCAACAATTACGGAATGGTTGCCACTATTGTTGTCGCTGTTTGACTCATGGTGGCAGGCTGAGGGAAATCACAATGGAATCCGATGTTATCTATAGCCAATACAAGAAAAGCCAGCTGTGTCCCTCAAGGGCACCTAAACCGAGAGCAATTCAGCCATGCGACTTGCCCCTTCTATTCCGGATCCTAGTTGGGAGAGAAGGGGAGAAAAGTTTTGTTCTGTCCCTCTGAAGCTGATGAAAAATAGCAATATTGTGATGCTGCAGCTCTTTGCATTTTTGAATTGCTGGATGAGGTCAGCGCCATAACTTAATTAAATCACCCACACAGGACAATCTGGTCGATTTCACTACAGTAGACAGGGAAAGCCTCTTGGTGTTAAGGCTGATAAATGACTAATAGGACCTCAGTTATAGATTGTTAGATAGCAGAAAAATGCAGATGGGTCTTCTCAGAATAACGTTAGTGATAACCAGAAGCAAAAGTGTGTGGTGTATCTGTTTATCCAGGAATTGAAATGACAAACATATGTCACATCCTGAATAAGAGAGTGTGAAAGAATATGTTTTTTACCAAAAGCCAAGGGAGTTCCCTTCCCAGAAGTGTTAAGTGCTGCCTTGCATTCTTATATGCCAAATTCAAACTATTTTCTCTGTTTTGCTGAGATCTAACATGTTTTTTCTATTTTGAGCATTAATTTTACATTGATAGAATCATAAACCATTCTTGCGGGGAGAGACAGCATGGTTCTCAAGCCCCCTGGTAACACTTTTTAGAAATCTGTGGGAAGAGGCACGATTTGGCTAAAACTGCAGGATGAAAGGGTAGGATCTGGGGATTACACTGTCAATCTTCTCAGCAGAAACTGAGCACTGTTTCAAATTTGAAAACAAAAAGCAGGAACATTAGATTACAGAATGTAATCTATTAGAAGGGCCTTCTCTAAGTGTAGTGAAATCATACAAGTTTGTGTATAGCCTCTTGTGGGGAAGGGGGGGAGAAGTCAAATCTGCTCCTTTTGCTTAGAAAATCTTAAAATTTCATATGCATTTATGCCACAGAATGAAAGGTCTGCTTTCCCGCTGAAGTAGCTATAAAAAGCCCTATAAAAGTCATCAGGGTCCCACTGTCACATTTCATTCGGCACGTTTTCATTTTTTCCGAAGCGTAAAAAATCCAATCACCATAGGAGAATTATGATAGTGGCGTGCAGGCAATTGGGTGCAGGTATGTGGGGAACAGGGCTCTTCTTATAAAACAGAATCAGTACTATTCAAACAACTTTCAGAAGCAGTGATATTTCAACTGAAAGGATCAATCTGTACAGTCTTTCTTACAAGCTCCAGAGATGCATGCAGCGGGGCCAGGATTAAAAGTCAGCACCAGAGTATTTTAAATAAAAATGTGCAGCAGAAAAAAATGGCATTCAATAAGGGATCATTATAAGCTTCAACACGTTCCTTTAATAAATTAAAATTACTATGACATTCAACTGTTTTCCTCAGGCCTGAAACTATACACAGTACATTTATTGTATTTATAAATAAATTAGCACTATTATAAACACATAATTTTACATACAATACTGACTCCCCTTGGAGGGGACAAATATTTTCAATTTTTCTGGAAACCAATTTCTTAAAGGAAGCTTGTACAACTGGTGAGCTGCTGAACGTTGCCAACAGTCTATCACTAACAAACTATTTTTGCTCAGGTAGCAAAGGAGCAGTACTATTCAGCCTAAGCTGATCTCAAAAAGGGAATTAGGGTTGGTCATGATAGAATTTGGATGGGAGACCACCAGGAAAAGACAGAAATGTAGTTCAGCGGCTCTTCCCTTGAAGCATGTTGGATCATAATTTTCTCTTGATTCGATCTAAACATAACTGGATGTGTATCAGATTCTCTGCTATGTGTGCTTCCCAAGTTAAAAGCAAATTATGCCCCAAGGCTCTTTTAAGCTTTCAGGAAGAAAAAAAATGTTCAAATATCTATGGAAAATTTAAATATTTAGACCCAGGATTATTGTAGAAGCCAGGAAAAACAAACAGGGTTACTGGACCCCCATATAATGCAAATTATGAGTCCCTCCATCCTTCACAGCACAATTAATTCCTAAAGGAAAACCAATTCCATCCACCTACAAGATCTTTCCTGTTTCCAAAAATCCTTTGGTCCAGAACTCTTCCAGAACACCTTGGGCATCAAGGCCATAATGAAGTTTTTCGATTTGATTTTGACTGAAAGCTATGTACTGTCACCGGCAGAAAGGTAGTGACAGTGCATAACGTTATCTCTGGGTGAATTAATCCCTGTTTCTCAAAAACTGTACCTGCTGCAAACAATGAGGCCGTGCAAGCTCAAGATCTGCCTTATTCGCAACCTACTTGCTCGGAAGTCGTTATCTAAAAATGAGTTGATCAAGGAAGTCTTCCAAACCGATTTAGCCATCTCCCATTTCAGACCATCATAATCTAGAGTTACAGCTCAAACGCTTGTCCCCAGTGAAGGACATAATCATGTTTTCCTTAACAGTATATTTGAAAAAGATAACCACAATCGTTTTAAAAACATCTAATTCCATCAGGGCCAAAGCAGCTTGATTTTTCAATCAAAATTAAGCCGTCTTCTTCAGCAGTTAAGCAACCTCTTAAAGTAGGTGATCTTTCAGAGCCATCCAGGAGGCCATCATTCCAAGGGTGTAACGGTGGCTCCAGCTTCCCATCGAGATTAAATCTCATCACACTGAAATGTTGTTCTTACAGATTAAAATATTCCCTTTTCGTGTAATGGGAAGATGATTCAAGGAGCAGGCTACGCAGTAATCAGGAAGTGAAAGATGCTGCTCTAATAACCCACATTCAAGAAATTATCCAGTTGTAATAGAAGTGTAAAGGTAAGGATGTTCTACCTTAAAAAATGCACCTTGGCCAGAGCCCATGTTTATCTGACAGAAGTTGCTGTCTCAGTTCAGAAATAACATAATGCAGCACATTAATCTGTAGTCCCATTGGGGTTAATGTCTGAATTGGTCTCCTGATACTAGATACTTTTAATGCATCAACAGCCTTGGGAAAATCTACATCCTTCTGAAGGAAAGGGTGGGGGAGAAATGGTCACCAGCCTTGGCATTTTCCCAAAATGTACGTGTTGTGATGGAGAACAGTCCTGTCACTTAACACAATCATTTGGGGACTGTATTATTTTTAAACGTCTCTTGTCCCACAGAGCGACAGTTCGGCCCCTTTCTGAACGCACGCCGTTGGGTTCTGCGTTTTTGGGCGTGTAGACTGCTCCGTGTTCTTCCACAACCTTTTGTAAGTCAAAAGAAAATAGGTTACTCTGAAAGTTTAAGAATGATGAAATATAATTAGGCATACAGGGTGAAACTTCAGAATCGGGAGATATTCGAGCGCGACGGGTGTCCGTCCCTTCCTTCCTTCCCACCCACGGCTTTCAGGGAATGCCATCTTTCCTCTGGCAGCACTGCGAAGGAGGCACGCTCCAGTCGTAGACATAAGAGAGTCTGAGCTTCACCTCCTCCTTACAGAGCTTTCCTTCCTTAGCCAGAGTCTGGTGTTTCTCCAGCATGTCCTCCAGGCTCTGCTTGTGGGTCACGATGTACTTATTGCTGCAGCCGCGAGATTTATACTCCGTGTCAAAGCGAGGGTCGTGAATCCGCTTGACATCCACGGGGGCGAGCCAGGCCCCCAAGGAGACGTCTTCGCTCTGCCAGAGGTTGAGGTAGTCTTGGCTCAGGCGCAGGTAGCGCACCAGGTCCGCCGAGATCACGTAGCCCCCGCCCAGGGCGTACGGCAGGTAGTAGTCGCACAGGAGCCACGCGTTTTCCTTCCACTTGCCCCCCGACTTCACGCGCCCGCGGCCCGAGAAGAAGCCCCAGTAGAGGCGCCGGGGCTCCTTGGAGCGCAGCTCCTCCGCCAGCGCGTCCAGGCGCACGAAGGTGTCGTCGTCGGCCTTCAGCACGAAGCGGAAGTCCAGGTGCTGGTCCAGCCACACGTACATGGCCAGCACCTTGGCGGTCAGGTTCTCGTAGGAGTCCCGCAGCTCGGGGAGCAGCAGCAGGTCCCGGTGGCGGCTCTGCTCCAGCTCCAGGGCGCGCAGCTCCTCCCCCGCCAGCCCGCCGGTGCCCACCACGAAACGGCACCACAGGTCGCTGCGGGGCACCCGGCCGGCCGCCGAGAGCCAGGTGCTCCGGATGATGCTGCGCCGCTCCGTGTACTTGGGCCCG